AGGGAGAAAGCAGAAAAGGAGCAGAAAGGGAGAGAGAGGAGAGAGAAAGAGGAGAGAGAGCAAAAGGAGAAACAGGAGAAGGACCAGAAAGAGAGAGAGAGAAAAGAAAAAGAGAAGTTGGACAAAGAGAAAGAGGACAGAGAGCAAAAGGAGAGGCAGTGTAGAGAAAAGGAGAAAGCAATGGAGTGGGAGAAGGAGAGGGAGAGCGAAAGAAGGGAAAAGGAGCAAAAAGAGAGGGAGAAAAGAGAGAGAGAGCAAAAAGACAGGATGAGAAGGGAACATGAGCGAGAGCAAAAAGAAAGGGATAGAAGGAACAGGGAGCAGAGAGAGAAGGAGAAACAGGATAGGGAGCGGAAAGAAAGGGAGAGACAGGAAAGAGAACAAAAAGAAAGGGAGAGACAGGAGAGAGAGTGGAAGGAAAGGGAAAGGCAGGAGAGAGAACGAAAAGAGAGGGAGAGACGGGAGAGGGAGTGGAAAGAGAGGGAACAGAAAGAAAGGGAGAAGCAGGAGAGAGAACAAAAAGAAAGGGAAAAGCAGAAGAGAGAGCAGAAAGAGAAGGAAAGAAGGGAGAGGGAGCAAAGTGAGAGGGCAAAAGAGAGGGAGAAACAAGAGAGAGAGAGAGAGACGAGAGATAAAGAGGGAGAAAGGGAGTGGAGAGAAAAGGATAAACTGGAGAGGGAGTGGAGAGAGAAGCAGAGAGAGCAGAAAGAAAGAGCACAGAGGGAGCGTGAGAAAGAAAGGGAGAAGGAGGGAAGAGAGAGGGAGAAAGACAAAAGAGACAGAGAGGAGCAAGAGAGGAGAGAAGCCACCGTAGAGTTTGCAAGATTGAAGGAGGAGAAGAGAGGTGAGAAGAAGGTGGAGCGTCTGCTGAGAGCCAAGACATCCAGGGACAAGGCTGAGCCTCCACCCAAGAAGAGGAAGAAGTGGCTGAAGGAGGTGCCATCCTCCTCCTCTGAGTCAGACTCCTCAGCACCCAGTGATGATGAAGGTCAGTTACTGTGTGTGTGTGTGTGTCTGGTACACACATACACCAATCAGCCAAAGCATTATGACCTACTGCCTAATGCTGTGTACACAGGAGTCAGTGTAGCAGTTTGTTGGCACTCGAGTCACAGCTCACTGTGCATCTTCTGTGAATCCATTTGCTTCCACAGTTCTACTGTGAGGAAGAGCACAGATTTTTCAGTGAAAAACTTGTGTAAATGTAGTGAAAACTGTGGTCACGTGGACAAGTTAGAGATAATTTTTTTAGACGAGTTCAACAGCCTCACCACCCTAGGTGTGATATTACCACTAAAGCTGCTGATTGTTTCTCTTCATAGTGACCAATGTACAGTATTTCTCATTTTTAACCATTTTAACAAAGATTCAAACAAAATGGACTCTTTAGCAAAAGAAAAATGAAATTTACAACTTTAATCTACAGTAGGTCAACGTCATCATCAGTGAGCCGTGGGCATCCATGACCCTGTCGTCTGTTCACTGTTTGTCCTTCCTTAGACACTGTTGGTAGGTCCTAACCACTGCAGACCAAGAACACCCACCATGACCTGCAGTGTGGGAGATGTTCTGACCCGGTTGTCTAGCCATCACAGTTTGGCCCTGGTCAGAGTCACTCATATCTTACCCTTGCCTGTTTTTCCTGCTTCCAACACATCAGCTTAAAGACCTGAATGTTTACTTGTGGCCTAATATAGCCCACACACTGACAGGTTCCACTGTAATGAAACAATTATTCACTTCAGTTCAATTTTATTTGTATGCGCCAAATCATAATAATAATAATGATAAAATTTATTTATAAAGCACCTACTAGCTCAAAGAGCACTAGGTGCTACATCAAAAAAATTAAAACCCACATCATCAAATTATCAATATCAGAATAAAAATCAACTAAGTAGACATATGACAGGCATATACATTCATCGATCTATAGCATAATTCCTGTCCGGGCTGACACCCCTCAGAAAAGCTAGAATAACGCTACAATAAAATAGAAAGCCAAGAGGAGTCTAGAGAGATTAAGCATAAAAAGCTTGTTTAAAAAAATATGTTTTCAGTGCCGATTTAAACGGGACTAGTTCAGTTATAGAGCGTAAATCTAATGGCAGAGCGTTCCACATTACCAGGCCGTACACGGCGAAGGCCCGACCTCCCCATTTTTTATAACGGGAAGAAGGCACCATAAGGGTGAGGTGGGCGGACGACCGTAATGATCCCCGAGGAAGATATCTGGATAGAAGATCTGATAAATATGCAGGGGCAAGGCCATGCAAGGCTTTAAAAACATATAGCACAATCTTAAATTGCACTCTCCATTTCATAGGTAGCCAGTGAAGGGACGCTAAGATTGGGGTAATGTGAGCATATCGACGGGTGTCAGTGAGCAGCCGGGCGGCGGCATTTTGCACCAACTGCAGCCTGGACAACGATGACTGAGATAAACCGGCATAGAGGGCACTGCAGTAATCAAGCTGGGATGTCACGAAGGCGTGAATGGCTTTCTCTAAATCAGTGCGAGAAAGAAATGGTTTTACCTTCGCTAACAGTCTTAACTGATAAAAGCTCGTTTGAAAAAATGGACTTAATCATAACAGAAGTCATCTCAGGACACTTTACACAGTAAGATCTAGACCTTACGGTTGTTGTTGTTATCATTATTATTATTATTATAAAAAAAAAACAAGAAATCTCCCTTGCGCAAGCACTTGGTGGCAGGAGGGAGGAAAAACTCCCTTTAATGGACAAAACCTCTGACAGACCCTGGTTTTTGGTGAGCGGTCTTCTGCCTCAACCAGTTGGGGTGAGTGGAAAGAGGAGAGAGAAAAGCAAAGCAACAAGACACAACAAAAACAACAACAAACACTGGTCAGGTTGATGTGGCCGGTGACTGCTCATCAGAGACGTAGAGCTCCAGAGCCAGGGCAACCTGCAGAAAGGTACAGGGAGAGAGACAGGACACACTACAGGAGAGCGGAGATGCAGAGTTAATGGCATGTAGATGCATGAAGAGTGAAGAGAGGAGAGGAGTTCAGAACATCATAGGAGGGCCCCCAGCAGTCTAGGCCTATAGCAGCATAACTACCACCTGACAGTGGTCATAATGTTATGGCTGATCAGTATATGTATTAACACCATATGCATAAATCTGCAGTGGCTGCTGTGTCCAGGCTCTCAGCGCAGCTTCACTGTGTTTCAGGGCCTGTGCGAGGTGGAGTTAACACCCGAGCCATGAGGGAGATGTTCAGGAGCTATGTGGAGATGCTGGTCAGCACCGCACTTGACCCTGATATGATCCAAGCACTGGAGGACACTGATGGTGAGCGGAAAACACAATGAAAGGCCTCAGTGAAAACATAAAAGCTGAGAATAGGACTGAAGCAAAGAGCCTCCCACCTCCCTCCCTCCCAGCCCAGCCACAGCCTGACACTTGGTTTTAGGTAGGGTAGAGGTTAGAATTAGGGTTAAGTTAAAGGAAAAGGGCACTCACACATAGGGAGCGCTGGGCTCTGGCAATGTTGTAGACCTGGGTGGGGGGTTGTGCTGAACACATAATTTACATGCTCTGCTATGACTGGACAGATGTTTTCTGATGTATCTGCTGTGCTACATACTTCTATATATGCGCTTTATCCTGTGAAGATGTGCTGTAAAGAACTGGGAAGCCAGTGGCTGCAGTGACAAGTTTCTCCTCTATTGTGTTGAAACGTGTCTCACTGGAGTGGAGTAGTAAACAACTTTATTTTCTTTCATAACCTCTTTTGATGAACTGCCCATGTGTCATATAAACAAAAAACAAAATCTGCTCTGACTCGTAAAAACAGGTACAGGCCATTTTCAGTCAAACAATTTATAAAGGTGAAAGTTAAATGTTTTTTTTTTACTTTTTGATTTGCCTTCATCTTTCCTGGTTGACCAGAAAGTAGCAGGGACTCTCAAGAAGTCCCTCTGGACATTTGCTGTTCATGTGCTGTACGGTGGCCTGGTGGAGAAATCAAGTTCTGATGTTATGAAGTCTGCGTCTGAAGCAGCAGCCAGGTTTTTGGGTTTAAGGCACCGTGCTCCCTGATCATTGCATGAGTTAATGAGAGAAAGTCAAACTACATAAAGCCACTCTGGGGGGGAGTTGAGGGTATGTATGAGGGTGACATTTTCAGTGTTCATGATAATAGTCCGCTTTTTTTGAATTATTAGTATTTTGGTGCATTGCCAGTGCACAGGAATATAAGAAAATTATTTGAGACAGAATAAACCTGATTTGGCATGAGTTCAGAAGCATGGCTGAAGCTTTGTATCTACCAGACCACACAGGCCAAGTGGAGGCAGGGCTGCATTCATCAAAACAGGAGTCCTCTATAAAATGTAACTGTGAACCATCTTTTGAATGCATGATAACTAAAGTGTGGACTTAGGTAAAGATTACATGTATTAATTTTCCCTATAAGCCTTTAATACCATCTGAGCATGAGGAAATAATGAGTAAGGTCAGATCCCCTGTTATCAATTATTTTAATGCTCATAACCCATTGGGGGGTACTCAGGAATGAGAAATAGTGATTTTTAATTATAATGATAATTATGAATGACAGCAGTATGTCCTGCATACATTTATCTCTTTCATTCTGCAGCTTTAGCAAGCTGGGGAGTGGAACGTCCTAAGCAAAGCTTTAATGGGTTACTTTTCTCTTTTGTGCCACTTTGGAAAGTCATGGGTTATAGAATCTGATGAGGGAGATCAAAGATTTGACAATGGGACAAATTTGAAGAAAAAAAAACAGCAGCACTTTAAGGCACATCAATAATACTAAGTCAAATAATGAGTACAATGGTAAGTGCAATCACCTTAGGAGGGGCCTCAGTGACAGTCTACTAAGGGTCACTTAAATCTGACCTAGACAAGCTTACACTGCTGTTAAAAGTAAGTGTTCTCCTCCTCAGATGAGCTGTACCTCCCACCCATGAGGAAAATTGATAGTCTGCTCAGTGAACAGAAGAAGAGGTTGCTGAGGAGAGTCAACATGAGTGGTCAGCACCAGGTAAACCTCTCATTCTAGGCTGATTTTACACCCACTTCTCAAATTACAGCCTGTTGATGGCAAATTAGAATAAATACCTCAGTGTGTGGGTTTAAAACACACCAGTCCTTTTCAAGCATCTAAGAGTTTAACCTGGGCCTCAACTTTATGTATATAATATCTTTGGCATCATTCTGCTTTCCTCTCTCCAGGAGGCTTTACATATATTCCCCAAAATGACGGCGGACCCTCTGGAATCTGGAGCTGTCAGAGTTCACCTTGGTGGGGAGAGTTATAATCGCAAAACTCTCAACCGGGTCAAGAGAAGTATTCCTAAGCAACAGGTCAGAAATAGCACAGCTGCAACACCACGCCTTCTGTCTGACTTGGTGAAAAGTAACTCACATACTGAATATGACTTAGTGTGTACAGGTTCACACACGGATAAACAAGACATGCAAGACAAAAACAAAAGCGCAGCCATCAGTGACCCTATTGTACAATCTAAGACTCAGGTACAGCTGCTTCATCTCCAACACCTGAAGCAAAGCCATACTGTACATTCTTAAAATGTTTTCAGTTTATTCAGTGGAAGATAATTCTGCAGTAACATATAGAATTTCCTTTTTTTAAGTTGATTTTATTTGTGTAATTTCTACATGCACTGGAATAATTACACGGGAAATCCAATCTATTAATCGACTATTTTTATAATGTATAAATCTAAAAAAATGGGAAGGAAGTAATAGGACTTTGTCAGAGATGGAAATGGAGATGAGGTACACCAGAGAACTCGTACAGTAAGACGAATGTAGTGTGACAAGTGTAGCCAGTGAAGCTGCTCACACAGTGATTGTAAATCAAATTAATATCCAGTTTATTCTTGTTGTTTGTTTGCAGCCCTGAAAAAGTGTGACATTATATCAAATATTCAAATGTAAATAAAAGACTAAAGCTTTCCTATTGTTAATGCCACTGCTTCAGCAATTATTATTATTATAATGAATATAATTGTTGTACAAAAATGTGCTGAGCTCTGTGTGTGCTGCAGTCAAAGGATCGACTATAAATTGACATAACAGAGCCCAAGAACTCAGTCCTTTTTAAAAATTTTAATTTATTTTATCTTTCAATTAAGTCCAGAATTTGACTTCTAGCAGTTGCTGTGAGCACCACACATGACCTTTCATTCACCTACATTGTTCTGGGGCAGAAACCTCAGCAACACTAGAGGTAGACTAGAAGTGATAAAATGCAAAAGAAACTCTTTAACAACACTTTTTACTTGAAGAATAGTAGAAATTGGCTTCCTTTTAGTTGTTATTTGTTTGTCAGGCTACCCCCTATCCTTCGGTATTTAGAGGAGTTTTCTCTAGTCTGGTTGCATTTTTCAAAAGGTGGAGTAGTCACTCAGGAGGAATAATCTCTGTTTCAGAATGTTCCTCTTTTTTTTCTCACCTTTTCAGGATTTGAAGCTTTCTATTGAAACCTGCCGGATCTACAGTTTGTATCATTCCCTTCACCACTACAAGTATCACACCTTCCTGCATTGCAAGAAGGAGGTAAGGATGGTTGCATTGATGCTTAAATGTATATCACTAAAACTCACACATTGCCGTGGTTAGACTCACTCTTCTTGGTTAGTAATTGTGTTGAAGTTACACAGTCTGATGATCACAGTTCACTCTGCTAGACTGTTAAAACCTACATGACCTAGCCATCCTGACATCTAGTGAGTCCCTGGCCTAATGAGGGTGACTCCACAATCTGTGTTAAAGTTGGAGGGTGGGAACAAATGGAAAGTTTCCTTTCTGTTTTTTAAGTTTTCTTCATGCCTTAAACGCTGCTATTCTGGCAAATTGAAGGATAAGGACAAGGATAATCACCTTTATTGGCCAAGTATGTTACACACACAAGGAATTTGTTTCCGGTACAGAACCAAACAGTACCGGTACAGCCCAGTAAAGGTGTTAACAATAATGCTAGTAGCAGCGACAGCAGTAGGGGTAGTGGTAGTCAGCAGTGGTCTACTGTAAATGAATAAAAAATGAGCAGCTGCAGTGGAAATATATCAGCAATACATGTCATTTTTCTTGCACATTCCTGTTCACACTTTATGTGTGCATTAAATACATTTTTCTCCTGTGTTTCAATTATGGCGCAATGCATAATTAGACTAATCTTTAATACTAGACACAGAAAGGACACTTAAGACCTCTAGTAGTGGAGGTAAATGTAGTAGCATTAACTGTAATAACAATATGACTAGCCCCAGCTTTTGCCTCTCATGTATGGCATACATTTGAATCACAGAAAAACTATCCCACTCACTCTGAAAGTTCATACATGGCAGTCTTTACATACCCAGACAGTTGTTTGACACCTGAACTTTTAAGGTATTTTCCAAATCCACAGACTCTTCCAACAATCTGGAACCAAAGATAATCAGCCCAAGAGAAATATAATTTTAGTCAGCTTCTTGGTTTGACAGTTTATTCTTCACACAAAAAAAGATGGGGACAGGAAAGGACATCCTTTCTCTCGCTCTGGGTGAAAGTCGAGGCAGCGCTGCCAGCGGTCAGCTATGATTTACCCACTTGAACAGTTTGGCTTCCTTCCAAAATATTTCTATATTGTAGTATTGCTATCTTTACTTAAGTAAAGAGACTAAGATAATTCTTTCACCACTAATAATTAAATCTGCATGTTCATAACTCAGTCTCTGCCTGTTGTCTAGTTTTTCTCTGCTTTCAGAATTCACACAGCATTTTTTATTAGCATGATCTCTGAATGTGTTTAAAGCAAGTTATCAGTCTGGGGATTGTCCGTAGCTGTAACATTAGCGTCTTTCAGCATCAGTTTACAGTTAGCCTAGCCTAGCATTACCATCCACCCTCAGTCGAACACTTGTTATATTGATTTCTCCACTGGTTTGTTCAGTCCCAGCTGTTAATGTAATGCATCTGTTTTTTATCTTTTCGGAGGGCCAAAGAAGTCACAGATCCCTTCTGTTTTCTGAACCCACCCATAGCTTAGGTTAGAGGTATAGCCTTGTAACCCAAAGAACACCATCCCAACCATGAAGCCCAAGGGTGACTGCATCATGCTCTAAGGTTGTTTTGTTGCAAGAGGGGCTGGTGCACTTCATAAAACTGATGGCATCATAAAGATGGAGAATTATATGGATATTTTGAAATTTCATCTGAAGACATCAGCCATGAAACTAAAGCTTGGACATAAACAGATCTTTCAGCAGGGCAGTGATCCAGGCATACTGTACCTCTAGAATGGTAACAAAATGGTTTAAGGCCATGGTTTAAGTATCCATTTTGGAGTGGTCATCACAAAACTCTGACCTTAATCCAAAAGAAAACCTCAGTACTCAGTTGTACAAGTTATGCTAGGAGGAATGGGCTTATGGAAGAGTTAGACAATTCAGGAGCAATGCAACCAAATATTAACAAAATGTATGCAAATGTTTGATACTAAGAATATGATAAAATAAATTAAGTAGCCTATTGCTTGTTGTCAAGAGAAAATACAGTATGTTGTAATTATTTAGTTTTAATGTAAAATGATCCCTTTATAATGAGAAAAGTCTGTCTTTATAACAAATTTAGCAAACATTTTTTTTCCCATGGTGGCAGCGGTACACTGCCATAGGTAGCTCTTGTGCATGCTATAAAATATAATCCTGCAGATGCCACTGATCAAACAAAAGAAGATGGTCTAACTGAAATACCAGAGAAAAAAATATGTTGAAATGTTTGGAATTGTGAAAAACCTTTAATGCATTTAGCTAAGGTTTATGTAAACTTCTGACCTCAACTGAATTAAGAAAAGTTCAAGCAATTCCCCCGCTGTAATGACAGTACCCCTTCTACCTGGTACATGTTAGTACTTTCATGACAGTTGTTACAGCCTTGCATTGCTTAATCTTTAGCCTTTGTTAATGTTGCATTACTGCCATTGTACTGTATGTAAATGACTTGTTGTTTCCTGAGCAGACGGACAGTATTGAACAGGCAGCTGAGGACCCTGGCCAGGAGGAGGTGGTGCAGCAGTGCATGGCTAACCAGGGCTGGCTGGAGAGCCTCTTTAACTCCTTCATGGAACTGCTGAGTCTCAGTGCCAAGGTCTGAAGGCTGCAACCCCCAGCCATCAACCTCACACATCCACCTGGAGTATTAAGTAGATGGAGGCATCCAGAGTTTGTGAAACAAAAGAATTGTGTTACAAAAGCTGGATGCTAGTAGCGCAATGGTTCCAGCACTAACAGCCACTGTCAGTTTGTTTGTGGGAGGTTTGACTTTCAAAGTGTTTGTTTTATTATTGAGTCCATGTTAAAGTACCTCTTGATTTCAAGAAACATATTGAAAGATGGAGGGTAGTGAACAATGTGAATGTGATGGACTTTCTTTAACTGTCAGAGAAAGAGACCACAATGTAATTTGGTCAGCACTACAGAAGAAATTTTTGTCAAGACCTACAGAATACTGACACAAACACACGAGCTGTCTACAAGTATGTATTGATAACTATGTTTGTATCATTTATACAATAACATTTTTAAAAATGACCATCCTAAGATGGGATTGTTTGCTGTTATTTTTGAAAAAAATGTTTTAAAAGGGTATGCATAAAATGGCCCACCTGCAATTTTTGCTTCTATCAGACCGACTGAAGTAAAACTAGGGTTGTGAGACAGAAGTGCGGTTTGAAAGGACTATGTGATAGTCTCTTGTTTCTACCTGCCTCAGTTAGAAAGCAGTTGAGACTGAGGGAAAATGTTTTTAAAACTAAGCTAAACTAAGCTGTGTTCTGTTTGCTCTTCAAAAGACAATGAGAGAGAAGATTTAATGCCTGTAAAGACAAAGAACAAAAAAAAAAAATAAAGCACGACTTTCTTAACGGAAGTGTGAGGCGAAATGACCCAAAAGCATAAATGTCAGTGTTTAATGTGAGTCATTTTTATCTGTTTGTTGTTGATTGACAATTCCTATTATTTAACCTCTCTGAGGATATTCCAGCAGAGACATTTGTTGTTTTGATGTGTAAATATTGTATAGCTACTTCATTCTCTAGTTCCCAGTTGCTCTTCTGTACATGAAATTCCTGTATTTGACATAATGAAATAAAACTGTTCAAATGACAACGTGATGATGAATAAACAAGCTTGTGCTAAAGTTTATTTCACTGGTATGAGAATGCATGAGCAAGTGAGTCTGAGCTGCTCCAGAGGCACTGCACAAATGTTTCAGTTACATTTTAGTTTATTCTCTAGGAAGTGTCATTGATCTTTGTTGAGAGGCATAAAAAGGGAATAGCTCATATACTGTACATACATCATTAAAACGGGCATTTAATCTTTTCTTTTGTTCTCCCATTCATTTCTTTTCCATCTGGATTATTAAAATACAATACTGTAACATACTGTGTTGAATTCCCTGTAACTGGTGATTTCGTCAGTCAAAGACATAAAGAAGGGAAATGAGCTAGTCAAAAGTCCGACTAACCCTCCTGCTGTTTTAAGGCTCACAAATGACCTGCACATGGTTTTAAATTAAAACATAAGTCCAAAAGTTGATATTTATCTAGGGCTGAGTGGTGTTTTAGTAGAGGACCACCAGCCGGTTTCTGGGTCTCTGTGCAAAATATAATGACACTACGACTTTAATTGAAGGGAATTTGCAGGCAACAGCATCCAGCAGGCTAATCTGGGCATGGTGTTCAGATTTAACCTAGTCCTGATCCATCTGAGGCTGCAGACAGGGCACATGAAGAGAGAAACTTTAATGTCCTATTATAAAAAGTGACATGCCTGCACGGCCAAATGGAACACAGCCTGATTGTCAGTGGCAGGAAAAGAAGTGGTTGTGTTGGAGTTTCTGCAGACCAATCATCAAAAAGGGCCACACAGAGTGGGTGCAGCTGCAAATCTTTTAAATTTTAAAAGGAGCAGGACCAGGTGTGTTTGCTGAGTCTACTGCAAGTGGCAGTAGATAATTTAATGCTTAATCATGTGGTTTCTATCTGCTAAAGGTGTGTGATTGAGATGCCAAACACACACGTGGCTGCATCACAGGACTGAATGTCACAATTTCTGTGTTTGAGAGAAAAACTGCGTCATTAAAGAATGCTGATATACTGGGTCGAGGATGTCCAGAGTGACACTTTAAGTTTAGAATTCACTTTAAGTTAAGGTTAGGGTTAGTGGTTAGTCTCCAGAAAATGAATGTCAGTGCAAAGTCCCCCATGAGAAATAAAAAAGAGTGTGTGTCTTTAGGTTTTTGAACATTCCAAAGGGCTCCTATAGGAACTCATTGTGCATTTAAATATATCTTATCTTATAAAATGAGTTTTCTTTCAGCTGTCTTTTAGGAAGGAAAATATTAATTCATATTCAGTGTAAATAAATCCAATTTTTAAAGGATAATCACTTTATTTGGCCAGGTATGTTACACACACAAGCAATTTGTTTCCGGTTCAGAACCGAGGCAGCCATCTGTGGCGCCAACTCATACCGATGGCTTTAACTTGGGGGTTCAGCGTCTTGCCCAAGGACACTTTGACATGTGGACTGTAGGCACCATGATTCAAACTTCCAACCCTCCAGTTGGGAGATGACTGCTCTACCCACTGAACCACAGTCACCCCCACCAAAGTATAACAAAATAATAATAAAACATTTTCATGATACTTTTGCAGAGAATGTCAATGTCCTTGACTGTTACAGTATAAAATCTTAAGTCAGGATCTGGTCTTTGAGGATTTTAATTGACTTACATTCCTTTCATGCAGACTTACCCTAACCTTCACCACAACCACAACTTGCCTAACCCTAATCCTAACCTAATTTCATACTATCTTTAAGACAAGTCATCACCTTAAATTCACTGATTTGCACAGTGGGCACTGGATGCTGGTCCTAAAGTCTTTAACTTTCCACTTTCCCTGCTCCAAGCACTCAAATTGTAAATACAGGAAAGGCTACATGACAAAAGCTTAACTTTAGCTGGCTTTATCATGTTTTTTCAAAAGAACCAGGACTTTTCCTAGTGAACCGCTACACAAACTGGACCTGTGACTCAAAGTGCAACAAAACATCAGAGAGAAATTGAAAAGAGGCTGGTATGGTTATGTCTGGTCAGTCTAGCACAGTGGCTCTGCGTGGTTGTCATCTCATACAGCTCCCTGACCACAGCTACAGTCGGTTCAGACCCACTTACCCTTTAAGTGTTACTGTCTTTATCGGGGCCATTGCTAGACATAAAGCTCTACAGGACACAGGCCCCCCATTACTCAAATCACACAATTATTTTTCTTGAATGTCTGCTGCATGAATGAAATGTGCTCCACATTGTATTATGTGAACTTCCCTTGCTTAGCTCACTGTCCCACTGCCATATTACTAATACTCAAACAACTACTGGTAAAGATAAAAATCTTTATGAAAATATTTATTTCAACATACATTAAAACATGATTTTATGGTGTAAACATCTGGCCCTGTATTTCACATTTATTTGCGTTCTTCTGCATTTCACAATAATATCATTTGATTGTCAAGCAGCCCCACTTTGATTTGTCAAATTTAAACTTTCACAAGTTAATCTATCAACAAATCATTAATTAAAAAGAAAAACAGTTAATCTGGACCTCTGCACTGTCTCAGCCTCTAAATAATTTTCTTATGTCCATCTACATAAGCCAGTTATGTTTGAGATTATTGGTATCATTCAAAAACTTAGCTTAGTCCCCTTCACATACGGTCCATTGCTTTCTTTTGTTTTGTGCTCCAGTACGTGGACTGTGTGCACGGTGCGGTGCAGAGGTACACTGTGCATCATGGGTATGAACCCAGACCGTTGTGCCTCAGCTTGTATTTTGCTTTGACATTCGGGATTAAAACAAATCAATTATTTTCCTGTTATTATTGACCTAAATTAATCCACTGCCACATATAGGAGCTTGTTAAAACTCAAATGTGTCATTTTTACTATGACACAGCCGGACAATACTGGTGCACTTGCCCCAGTAAAAGGGGTCTAACGATGCCTGTAGTCTTCATCATGTTTAAAACACAGCAGTGGACTGCTGCTGACTCACTTTGCATGAATAACAAAGTTAAAAATGTATAGCCGTGGCCAAAAAGCATAGAGAATAGTTTTATTAGGAAAAAGCCAAATCTTTCAGTGACCCAGCAGCAGTGGTAACTGTGCAGACAATCTAGAGGAGGAGCAAAGCAGCAGAGTGGGTTCAGGACCAGAGCTCCCAGTGAGTCTAGTTAGTACAAACTCCAGTCAAGTCTTATAGCATAAGAGCAAGTGAGAAGGAAGTGAGGCTGAGTTTATTTAATAGGAAAATGTTGTACAGCTTCTTTTTCTGCTTAAAGTACAAAGTAAAGAGTCGGTGTGATGAACTCAGGCCCACAGTTTTATTACAGAAAGTTCCAATGAGCAAATAAAAGAGAATATGTCTGGTGTACTCTCCTGTCTGAACTCGAATGTCACACTCTCTATAGCTGTATATAGCATCTACTGTACTTACTGTTAAAAGTTAAACTTTTGTTTATCCTCTTTTAGTTTTTAAAGATTAGATTCTCTCTATTGTTGCAGAATATGGTTCTGAAGATTTTTAAAAACCATTCGATGTGCAACAGTGTGCTTTGGACAGGGTCATCAGTAGAGTGAAGTAAAGCTATAATTTGTCAGGAAAAGAAGCATGTACGAGTATGTGCATGAACAGCTATGCAAGAGAACACAGAGGACACAGATGAGAGACCTACAATTTCTAGGACAAAGAGAAAAAAAACTGGATAAGTGAAGCAGGGTAAGGTTTAGAGGCAGTGGGCTGGAGGAGGGACAAGTGACGAAGAAAACAGGGAGGGGAGAAACACAGAGGGGCGGGCAACAAGACACATCTGGAAACAATTGACGAGACAGCAAGAGAGAGAAAGCGAGAGAGGGAGTTCTGCTAATAAAAGAGGACAGCACAAAAGGTGCAACTTCCCAGATGGAAAATCATTTTAAGATGTCATAAAGTTCAGAATTGAAGAAGAAGACAATTGAACTGAGGAAAGCGGGTATCCACAGTCTGCAAGTGAAGAACAATACAGAGGAAGTGAGGAAAAGAAAGCCTGGCTGGTCCAGGGAGCAATCCAAAGGAGATCTGAAAAGGAAAACTTCATAAAGACCAAAAGAAGAGGGGGAAGGAGTCAGGAGGAACGTGACAAAAACGAGAGCTGAAAGGTAAAATCTATTTGTACTGCAAATAGAACTACATAGATGCCAAGCCTGTGCATCACAAACTTCACTTTAATGCTAAAGCAACTCTCATTGTTTAAACTAATACTAATTTCATGATGATAATTACTGTATATATTTAGTTTACATGCATTAAAACTGCACTATATTTTCCTGTGGATCTCAGTAGACACTGGGTCTGTCTATCATGATATAAAGGACTGTGCAGCTTTGGCAGCAGTTAATGAGCTGTCATACCATAGGTTTCTGTTTAGCTGCTTGGTGATATTCCTTGGCTAAACATTGTCAGGACCTATCCAGACCTTACCTATATGTTCTCTTCATGTACAGTCATGTATACTGTAGCTTTTGTTTTTGTAAACTTGTTCTTCTGATGCCATCTTAAAATTCTGTTTCTAGTGTGTTTAGCTGGATTTCTGTGTTCACAGCCACTCTCTGTCAGGTCTGGTTGACTAGATTTCTTGGTAACATCTGCACTGGAAACAGGAAGTCAATAGGTATGTTTTCCTCAGGGTCTTCTTACAATGAAAATAAGAGCATGTGTTGTTTGTTACATCTGTCTGACAAGGATCTCTAGCAGCTGGTGGGATTATGAGTAAACCTATCCAAATTCTAACCTTCAGCAAACAGCAATGGCAGATCAGGAGATGGTCAGATCAATTAGTTTTCATTTTTAATGATTTTGGAAGGTAAAAGACAAATGTCAGAAAACATGCATGTGGATTGAGCTAAGCGGTTCTTGACCTGGCCAAATCTCTGTAAAAAGACAGGAAAAACAAGACAGATACTTTGAAAGAGGAAATTCAAAAACTTTTTTCCTCCTTAGACAGTCATGTGAAATCCCATGTGGGAAAAAATTTATTTATAAATACAGAAAACTGTTACAGTTCAACGTAAAGGAAAGGCTTTAAATTGGAATTCTAATAAGTACTGCTCTAACTGAAATGTAATAACTCTAGTAAAGGCAGTGCAGTGGAACCAGCTGGTTGTTATACGTCAGCACCACTTTACATATACAGTCCTATGTGCTGACAGACAGCACATACTATATGTGGATCATTTGTTTTATGCTATATGAAAAGCACCAATAAAATACGTATGGTGTATGGGGTTACTGGGGTTAGTGTTGTAGGCATGGACGGATCATGAGACACTGGGCCCCTGGGCACAGACATGTAAAAGGCCCCCCTGCCCTTCTTACATAGGATCAAGACTGACAGATTGAAAGAGAGTTTTGTGTTTCTTTTTAGTTGTTTTGTGGCTGTATTTTGTTGTTTTGCTTTACATTTAATTGTGGCCCTGTTGTATGTCTTTCTACATATTTTGTAACTATTTCTGGTCATTTTTCATGTTAGTTATTTTGCTAGTGGCTTTGTGGTTATTTTTGTCTGTTTTACTTGCTTTTGTCTATGAGTCTGTTTTGCATGTCCTTGTGCCCATTTTGCATCTCTTTGTAGCTGTTTTGCATCCGTTTGTACTCATTTTGTGTTGCTAATTGACTTTTCAACACAGAAATATTAAGTTATTTCATACAGAGCCTCCGGTCCCTCGGGCCTCTGTGTCTGTGCCCAGTAGGCCTGTTCAGTAATCCATCCACAGCTGTAGGTTATCTTACCACATCCTTTGACTATTGACATAAAAATAGTGGATAGAAACACACAATGACACAAAGAGCACAAAAAGAAATCTTTTCCACAACATCCAGAAAGTAATTCAGCATCATACCTAGAATCATAGTTAGTTATTATTGCCTTCATATGAGAGTTTCATGTTTACAATATATAAAGTTTTAAGCCACATAAATAACATGCTAAGCTTTAAGGCATGCTAATTTTGTATATGCTATGCTAACGGTATCATCAGGCTTTTAATCTCAAGTAAAGCAGCCCATTATCGAAACAAAGTAAAAATCAGAGTATTCATGCTTTTAGCTGTAAGTCACTCTCTTCACCAGTCCTTAAAATGTCAACAAAGTGTAATTTTGATGGGCTGGTAATGAAGGGTGGACTTAACTCACAAAAATTAAACCTATCATCAGTGATGTAGTAATTACACTTGATCTGCTGGAGCTGTGGAAACAGGAAAACATTATTTTTACAGCATAAAAATGGTATTTCCAATGACATTCATAGTCAACCACAGAACCTACTCACTATGTTCTGAAGCAGAATTGTGCTGTGATGGTGAAAGATGTGCTCTCCTGTGAGGCACAGGTTCACAGTGGCCATGGGAAATGCCTTTGTCAGTATAATTAGGCTTACTAAGAAGGGGAGGGAGCTTCCTTCCTGTCAGCAGTTTGACTTCCTGTGTGGGTCAGTAGTTGGTGTGAGGACCACTCAGTCAGAGACAAATCAGACTTCCACTATGAACACACACTCATAATGTGTTAAAACAGTGTGTGTTTAAAACTAGGGTGATGGCATCAACTATGAAGTAGTCATTTCAGACATCAGAAAGCAGTGCTGTATAAAAGATTTTTCTCATCTGTCTTAAAACAAAAGTCACTGAAAAAGACAAATGCATCATTTTAAACTATATAAATAAAACTTTGTTTCTCCTGAACAATACATTTTCCATCTTGTAACGTGCTGCCCTTTTACACACCGGTCCTCTCATCAAGGAAACCCAAAACACACCACAACGAGGCCATAACAGATACTACACATTAATTCTGCACTCAGTTATTTAACCATAGTAACCCCAATGGAAGCACATAAAGTTACCAGTGGCATGCACCGTTGTATAAACACTGTTCCTTTGCTCTTCCCTCTGTCTTTTGCAGGATGCCAGTGTCTCAGAGGTGTTTGTGCTGCATCAAATATTTGATGTTTGTCTTTAACCTCATCTTCTGGGTCAGTATTCGCACAAGCCAGTGCCAAGTTGGTGTCATATTTGTTTAATCAGTTACAGTATGAAAACAATTTTAACCTACACCAATTCAGAGTGTTACTCAAATCAAACGGTTGTGGACATTTGAATATGCTGCATGCCTCTGAAATTATTTAGCACTGAGTTTTACAGACACGACAAGTCAGTTCCTTATACTACATCTACACAGACGCATCACTGTCAGGATGATGCACTGGGATAAATGCTGCATTTTGACACTGGTTTGACATTACATTTTCTGAAAAGCTAGGAGGATGTGGCTTGTTTGGCGTTGGAGTCTGGCTGTCCTTCACGCAGGCAGAGTTTTCCTCTCTCCCCCTGTCTTTTCCATCCCTCTCAGCTGCCAATCTGCTGCTAGTCGCTGGTGGCATTACCATGGTGACTGGCTTCCTCGGTTGTCTTGGAGCCCTTAAGGAGCAGCGCTGCCTGTTGTTCATGGTGAGAGATCCTCATAACACAGAATATTTTGGAGGCATTTTATGTCTTGTGAAACGCAGTAATGGGGCGGCTGAGGTTCAAGAGGTAGAGCGATCATTCCTCACCAGAAGGTCGGTCGGCGGTTCAGTTTCTTTCTCTCTAGTCCACATGTCGAAGTGTCCTTGGGCACTGAATTCCAAGTTGCTTCCGATGACCATGGGAAGGTGGGATAGTGCCACCACCTGTGTGAGTTGGTGCCACAGATGGCTGCCTCGGTGTTCTGGAGACAAATTCCTTGTGTGTGTATCATACTTGGCCGATAAAAGTGATTATTATTGTTAAAGATGTAAATGAGGCACACTGTTCATGTTCACACGGTCTAATCTGGATGCACCTCCACCTGAGTGGGGATAATCTACAGCACTTGCACTTGAATACTCTGTAATGTCAGTGCTCAACTGCTCTTTTCTGTTCCACAGTTTTTTGTGATCCTCTTGCTCCTGGTCCTGACAGAGGTGACGTTGGTGTTGGTTATACACATCCTCCATGACAAGGTGAGATCACTGTATACAAGGTTCAGGTTCAAGGCTTCAGGGTTTTCTGTTGTCACATCCAATACAATGTGCACTGCAATGAGACAGTAAAATTAGTTACTTTGACTTATAAGAAACACTCAAACAGCTGGAGTTTTCTGTTCACATGAAGCATCTGCTAATATGAACCATGCCTCAAAGAAAGAGATCTCAGAAGGCTGTTGATTTGCATAAATCTGGAAAGGGTTACAAATGGCGGGACACAACAGAGGAAGCTGCTGCTCTCCAGATAAAAAGAAAGATCACTGCATGCCTGAGGTCTGCCAAAGGGCACCTTGAGCCTTCACCACACTACTGAGAAAATGTTTTTGGACTGATGAAACTAAGGTTGAATTGGGCAGGAAGGATCGTGTATGAAAACAAGGGGCTGCAAAGAATATCCACCCTTTGGAGCGTCCCCATCAGAGTCCAGACTTCACCCCAGCAGAGATGCTGTGGAACGAGCTGAGAGAGCCATTCACGCCAGATGAAACATATCCTAGGAATATGACTCGGCTGAAGTAGTTCTGTGAGGAAGAGTGGTCAGAATTTCCTCCTGTACATTGTGCAGGTCTGCTCCACAGCTATCAGCCATCAGGCTTTATGTACGCACCTGAAAAGCCTGTTCACCAGATCTGAGCCAAGCGCATGCACAAGAGTAACAGTAATAACATCATTTGCGTGATGACCAAATCAAATTTCCTCACAAACTGGTCATTTATGACGTGTCCTCTCCACCTCGGTATGATCAGAAGCTTGTCCATAAATGTCCAACAACTGTGAAATGTTCTCGCCTCTCCACTGACCCCTGTCACTATTTATTGTTATCGGTGGGACTGACACTGAATGATGACAACAGATGATATGCATATGTGAAGAGGAGTAAGATGTTGACAAAAATCACAGGAATTTTTATCTGACCGTTGTGACAGTGGTCACATGGACCAGCTCTGAGTTGAAAAAATGTAGTTTTACTTTTTCACATCCATGAAAAGAGAAGATCTGAGTCACTTGGAAAAAATCCAATTAGAGTCACACATCAATCAATTATCAAAAAAAAAAAAAACTGTTGATTATCGCTTAACCAATTATGTCATTTGTCAAGACAAAACATTTTCTGTGGTTCTGAATTGGCAGTTGTTTTATTTATAATTTTTATAGCACTATAAATGTAATATCTCCAGGATTTTTACTGTATTTTGGATGAAACAAGTAATTTAAAAAGCAGAACTTTGGGAAAATGTTTGTGGTTGGACTGGTGTGCTCAGACATACAAGGGTTTATGTCAAGTTCCAGCTGAGACAGGCCGCAGTCCCATGTGACCCTTCAAAGGTTAACTGCATGTTTCTGTCTTTCTCTTTATGCTAGCTGGATTCCAAAGCACAAGGTCAATTAAGGGAAGGTATGAAGAGTTATAACTCTGAACCTGGACTGAAAAAATCCTGGGACAATGTCCAGAAAATGGTGAGCACTCTCAGCAAGCAATGCATTTACAGACAACTGACTGTTTGGTGGCCTCTACCTTTACTTGCTCCATGAAAGTACCGGTACTGTGAAGCAGTGGTGTCAGTGTGTACCCTCTATCGTTGAGCAGTCTGTTTTCAATACAGACTAGTCTGTAATGTATAGATAAGTTATGTAGTTGACCATGTATTTCTCTGTCTCTTCCCGCAGTTCAAATGCTGTGGAGTAACTAACAAAACAGATTGGTATGATGTGCTGAATGGAACTCTGCCCTCATCCTGCTGCTCCATCGGGACAGACCAATGCGCTGACGGATGGAGTGAGGTTGGTTTGTTGTTCTCTTGTAATGGGGGCTAATGGAGAACCAAGACTCCAGAGTGGTTAAATTTCACCTAACAAGCTTTTTCCATTTTGTCATTTTTTTGCAAAATAAAATCTAAATTTGTTCCAGATGTGCATCTGAGGCAAGTGTGTCTGAAATGACTGGAACTACTCACTGTATCCAGTATCTGTGGCTAAGTTGTTGTGATGCCATTAATCATGCAGTTACCAGTGGGTCTTGCTTCAAACCAAGGGAAGAGTAATTATTTACACTGATTTAAGGTTAAGGGGAAGATCAGCAACCAGCAAAATCACTAATGGCCTCTGATCTAGAACATGAGACCTCTCAAAAAGCCTAAACTTCCCAAAGCAAAGATGTTGGGTGCATCATTTTCCTCACTTGTGTCTTTTCCTAGTCCCACCAAGTAAGATGTGAGGAAAACATGTGACTCGAGGAAGCATGTTAACAACATGACACGCCCTCTCCACCTAGTCTTCATCTGAAACGTCCAGTCAACAAAAGTTTTTGGATAAAGAGGCATGTTGGTTCATTAAAAGCCATCCACAAAGGATGGGCTTGTGTATCCTTTCTCATGGCTCCTCCGGGAGCCTCCTTACTCCTTGATACTCCCTCCTCAGATACAGTATAACATCCTTGTTCGAATGGAACAACTTAATCTTTTCTTATGTTATCATTTTACTTTGAGCGAACTTCTTGTTTTCTTTTCCTTCATGCTCTCACTCTGTGTTTGTCTTCTGTAGCCATGTTATCAGAAGGCCAGGCAGTGGCTGCTAGACAACATCCCCTCAGTCTTGGTGTTTGGAGTCTGTATTGGTGTTGTGCAGGTAGGTATCTGCAACAATTATTCATCAATTATATTCATACGTTCAGTTTAAACCATTGTATCTCTGCTCTTAGTGAATGTTTCCTCATCTCTTGGGCTCATCAAACATCAAACCCAGCAATTTATGGCAAAAACTGTTATTCAGTGTTACACACTTACAACACAACATGTTGTTCTTTCTGATATATCTAAAATGTAAATGTGTTTTCAGTACAGATTTGTACTCTGACACCCTGCCAGGCTTTATGCAATTAAGAATGCAATTTGTTTGCATAAAGATTATATTTAGTATTCTTATTTTATTCAGTTAGTTGTATTTTCACCTTCTCTTTTGGCCATCCAGTCATGATCAGAGTTTAGTGTGTCCTGCGTGTAAGGGTGAATGGAGGGAACATGTACTCCACAAGTTCCAAAGTAATATTTTTCTCACCCTCATATTTACATTTTCAGTTTTACTTTATTCACTAACAGATCACACTACGTGTCCTAGCTGTCCAAGTGCCAAAATACTGATGGGAGGACCTCTGACTTGATCAAAATGTTACAATGTTCATCTGAGTCACTCAACATTTAAGATTTACAAATCAAATCTCTATGAAGGAAATGATATGTGACTAAAAGGTTAATGTATTAGAATGCAGTGATTTCTAGGTCTCTTTTTTGGTATACTAACATGGTTATGGAAAGCATGCTAACCAATCTAAGCATCATTTATTATTTACTCTATGATGTACAACATTGATATAAATGAACAAATACTTAATTTTATTTTGATGAACCTCTGACTCTATAACTCTTGCCCAGGGAGGCGTTGCATTAATTAATGTTGCTGTTATTAACATTTTGTCAGTCAATGGTCTCAGACAAAGCATTTTGATGTTTTAAACATCTGTATTTCATGTAACTCGAGAACCCAGAATTCAGGGAAAAGATTGTGTAGCTTGTTAAAATGTTTTATTTTCCGACAGGTTATCTTTTTTCCCCTGTGTGCCTCCTTATTTTTTTTTTTCAGATCTTGGCTTTGGTGTTCTCCATGATGATGTACTGTCAGATTCTTTGTGCTGAGAAGGACTTGGGCTGAGTGCAGACCAGTTTTCACTGCCTTGTGATATCACAAACTCCTCGAGGATCTCAATATTCCTCACCCCCAACCTGATCTGAATTTCCCAAACCTTCAATTCAGACTGTCATACTCTAGTGCTTATCTTGGGTTCAGGCTTGGCTATACATTCCTCTTACGATTCCCCCCAAAAACCACCACTGTCTATCTAAATCCATCAGTGGGCAGAATGAACAAACAAAGCTAGTGGTGATAAACTAGCCAAGTGAAGCTGACAAAGATGATGAGCACAGTTGGTTGTCTCAGTTCCAGCTATAGAAATATCATGAACCTCATCACAGTTTAATGTTGCATTATGTCTGATCAATAACGTTTTGATTTATCACTAAAATCCACTGGCCTCCAGCCAAAACATGTTGCAATTACCTAAATATGTCGAGAGTCACCTGAGCAGAGATACTGTCATCTTAAGATTAAAAAAAAAAAAGAGGCATATATGCATCTCCTTATTTTACAGTATTTTGTTTCTAGAGTAGCTAATTTGAGCTACTGATAGAAAATAGTAATGTCAAATTTGTTATAAATTATATGAAACAACAAAAGAGACATTCTATCATTTAGTAGGACTGCAAGAAATATTGTAATTCTACTCACTATTCATAATTTCAGTATTTGGCTTTAATTGTCCATCCATGGTATTAGAAAGAGGAGACAGGACCGTGAATTTTATAACCTGTTGGTTTCCTTTTGTGTGTTACCTAAGTCAAGCATTATTGTCAGACAGGTAGGCCCGCTGTACTAATGAATGGAGAACACAAACAGACATAAAAGAAAATATTTTTATGTAGCACTTAGTTCACTTTGTTCAACATTTCACGTGTATTATTCCTGTAATATATGCACACACGTTCTGGTTCATTGACTTTACATTCCATGTCATTATTACTGAATTATTAAAAAAAAAAGAAGAAAGAAAAGAAAGCCTGAGGCATTTTTCTGTCATTCTTCATTGTTCTTATTTACTAAATATGTTTATTCAACTTCATCTTTTTATTGGAACAGATATTGTATATAACATTTTCTGTTAAAGCTGGTTTTTAATGCTCATTATTTTGCCAACTCAGTGTGAGTTATCTAATGCAAACCACAGGGTGTTTCCAGAATCAGTGAGATTCTCCAAATAAGAGAAGGAGATTTATTTGCCAGTTTAGGGTGGAAATGCTTCCATACTGCCTCACTCAACAGTGCCCACGCAGTTAACAGTGCTGAGAGTTACCGGGCCCCAAATGTACCGGTTTACCACCATCAAAGCAGTGGCTTCAGTCTAAATTGAGCCCAGGAATTTATTCATGAACCTGCTTTCAGACTTCTATGGACACTGATATTTTCTTTTTCATACTGTCACAGCAGAGGTGGTACCAGTGAAAAAAAAAAGTTATAATTTGACCTAGTGGATTCCAGCTGTACCAGCTATAAATTGACCACAACAAACACTGAATGTCTTCAGAATGTCAACAAGAAGAGATGCAGGTCTTATCTGAATCCTGGTGAAGTCCTCCACCTTTCCACTGCAGCTCCACTCATTTCCTGCAGAGATGACCCACACAACTGGTGGCTATTCTTCTCGTGTCACCAACCATGCACTGAAGTTTATTTAACAGAATCTTAACTACTTCAGCAATGAGGGGTTGTGATACCTGGTACATCACAGTCTCAACAAAAGAGTTCCTCATCACCAGCATCCTCTCTGCTCAGTGACCCACTCAAATTAGATACAACCCCCCTTCTTGACACCTAGCCAACCAATTATGTGACCATGGAATTAATATCCGTTCACCCGAAAACACTAAAGCAATAAATTTTCTACTCCCACTCTAGAATCCCAAATCAGAAAACAGTTGGGACAGGTTGTAAAATCAAAATTAAATCTGAAAATAGTGATGTGCAAGTCATCTGTGCCCTGTATTACATTGAAAAAAAAAAATACAGCAGCACATTATTTGATGTGATATCTCATCAATTTTACTATTTGTTCAAAATAAACACACTTCAATTCTGATACCTGCAACAGATTCTTAAAAAAAAAGTTGGGACTGTTGCATTTCAGGGCCAGTAATGAGGTAAAATAATGAAATGATGATTACATTTGAAACGGGTGATGTCAACAGGTGACTGCATCATGGTTTGATACAAAAGTGGCAACCAGGAAATGTCTGTTAAGTGTTTTACTGTCCCAACTTGTTTTGGAATGTGTTGTAGAACTCATACTTCAGCAAAGAAATGTCTGCTTATGGCCCTGAAACACCAACACCAAGTAGGAAACTGTCACAGACAATGGTTGTTTTTGAAGATGTTTTATATATAAAAACCAAATTTACAGATCATTACAGGAAATGATAGGTCTGAAAGAAACATACGCATTATTTTGAACATTACACTTGTAACTGAAAAACATGTTTGTCTTCATATCCTGTGTGACAATATGTCAGGTTCTTGACTGCTTGTAATTCAGTGTACATCTCTGAGATAATGTGTTGAAAGTTAAATTACAGTGCAGAGCTCAGTCTCTCAAGGCAATATTGTTTGTACAACAATAAACAACTTACAGTAAAAGTGCATGTATAGAAACTTATGTCTTAAGTATATTCGATACAGATTAATGCAGTGTAAAATGGTTTTAAAACCTGTGTTCATTTTTTATATCAAGACATAATTTATAATGGAAGGGGCATGTGATAGAACACATTGCCTGTCAGTTATCACGAGACACTGGATGCAGAGGTTATCAGTGAAGGTCAACACCAACCAAGTGTTTTTTTTTACAAACGCACCAGAAATAAATCCTGCTTCTGTTAACAGGTCACTTCCCTGAGTTCATTAAAGAACCAGAATTCTTGAGTACTCTTTTTTGTAAACTGATTTGACCCCAACTACTGTATAGCAATATTGTTTGTGTTCCTCACTTTTGTTACTCTGCTTTCCTGCCAGACCCATTAATTCTTAGAGGTTATTGTTTCTTATGTGCTATAAATAGAGGTATGCCATTGATAAGTTGACAATTTCTGTTGTCTCAAACTGAAACTGTAAAAAATAAAATAAAAAAACAATAGAAATAAAACGTTTAACTAACTTTTCACACTTTTCCATTTACTCCTAGTTGAATGTAGCTATGCAGAGTTTCAGTTGTATTCAGTGTAGTTTAGAAACAAACAATGGGAGCACATCACATCCCTGTACCCCATCCTTTGCTCCAACTGTATCAGACTACCGCTACAGTATGTCCTCTGACAGACAGTAAAGATATATACAAACACACTGTTTGACTTCAGTTCTTTTCAGAGCCTAAAGCTGGAGCCTATTCCAGGCAGGGTACATCCTGGACAGTCACCAGTCAACCTAAGCTGCATGTCTTTGGATGGGCCAAGAGTACCCAGAGAGAAACCCATCCAGGCACAGGGAGAACATGCAAACACTGCACAGAAAGGACCCGGGTAGGTTTGGGTTTGAACTTGGAACCTTCTGTGAGGCGACAGCACTAACCACCGTACCGCCCCTCAAGTTAAAGAAGAAAATTCAAACAGCAAATGCTAAATTTATTATTTGTTACTCAGTCCAATCGACCAATGATTAACTATTAAAAAGAAAAAGAAAAATTGATTTCACATTTGCCATTGTATATGTGACATTTTCTTTTTCTTTTTCTTTTTCTTTTTCAAGTCATCTCGAGTGGCGGCCAGCAGATTGGTGGTCCTGCAGCAGCTTGGGGAGCAGAGCCTGTCCACAGCAGGGTTCAAATTACACTGTAGCTTTTGGGAGGGGGTGTTTTTTTTCTTGTGGGGAAGCCAATTAACAAAACAATAACAGCAACATTGTATTGAATCTGTCCAGATCAAATGTCCAGTTTTATGGAGAGAGAGAGAGACCTTAACAAGCTATCACTGCCTCTTATTATAAGAAAAAATTAGCAGCTGCTACAGTCACAGTGCCAAAACATTTTAATGGCAAACTCAACAATGTCAAATGTCAAATGAACTTTCATTTTCCTTTTTAACATTTAATTATGGGCTGATTACCCTGAGACAAAAAATCGGCTGAGGTATCATGTTCTTGTAACTGGACTACCAACTTCTGCCTCTGTGAGTACAAACAGAGTCAAAGAATAACATTCCCTGTGGGCAGGCCTGACCTTCAGTCCAAATGTAAAACACCCACTAGTGAAACAAGATTACAACCTGCTGTCACTCTCAAACTGATTGAGAGGACTTTTAATGAAAGAATCTATACTAGTCAATAATAACAAACTGTTTCTTCTTCTTCTAACCATTAAAAATTGTAACCTTTTCTGAGAACTACTTTCTGATCTCAGATTGACAAAAATCTGAAACTTCTGGAACTGGCTCTTGTCACGGTCCAAATGAGACTGTGGGAGTAAGGTCCATCTATCGCTTCACTTTGATGTCATAACGGTTGGTTGAGGTTAGTCAGTCAGTCATACTCTGCAGGCTCCTCAAATTCTGCCACGTTTTCCTGAAGATGAAATAAATATAGCATATTTGTATAGCACCAAATCACAATAGAAGTCATCTCAGGACACTTTACAAAGTAAGGTCTAGACCTTACTGTTATCAATATTATTACATAGGGAAAACCCAACAAATCCCCCTTGAACAAACACTTGGCGACAGTGGGGAGGAAAAACTCCCTTTAACGGAAGAAACCTCCGACAGACCCCAGCTCTTGGTGGGCGGCCTTCTGCCTCGACCGGTTGGGGTGAGTGGATAGAGGAGAGACAAAAGAAGAAAAGCAACAAGACACAACAAACACAACAACAAACAATCAAGCACTGGTCAGGTTGGTGTGGCTGTTGACTGCTAATTTGACATCAGTGATGATTTAGTCTAAAAGCATGAACTCCAGTATAAGGATAACGTGCATCTTCAAAGAGACATGTTATCTGTGTTTTATGTCTTTAAGGCAGGACTGTCAGTGGCTTAGTATTTACTTTACCCAGTGGCAGAAAGAAGGAAGGCTTTGCCCTTATATAAAAACAGGCTTGTATTGTTAATTTTCTGTTCCTGTTGTCTTGATAAATTCAGCATAATGAAAATTTGCACAGCACTAATTGTGTTGTTCTGAATTCCACTTTTTTTTTTTTTTTTAAATGCTGCTTTCATTTACTAATTCTGTTAAACTGCTTCCACTTTGCTGTTTTTGATTGCTAAGTTACCATGAGTCAAAACTTGTTACACAGGTGTTTCACTGAAAGCCTTCCAGCCATAGGCAGCACCAGGTTGTTATATTTGGCAACACTAAAACATCCCAGGAATCTTAAAAAAAAAGAAAAAAAAGAAAAATTATATTCTCCCTCCTCTGTTATCAATGTTCCTCATGTTTCTGGCTTGTTCACTCTGTCCATCTGTTGATGGGTCTACACAAAGAACAATAATAAAAACTAATAAGAACTCTGTTATGCCTGATGACTCATTCAACTGTTTACCAGTTTAGTCACACAGTTCATTCTGGTGATGTTTGGTTAAAATGCAGGTAGTGTATGGGTCAGGTTAGCAGGTAGGTCGAGCTGAAGAACACTGCTTGATCAGTCACACAGCACCATCTGCATCATATTTTAGGACAACATCCACTTTCCTTGCAATGTGCATTACTTCTTCTTGAGAAAATGATGAAACTAGAAATGATGTTGTCTAGCTTAGGGATGGATCTAAATATTTGACTATTCAGATATTTGTTCGTTGGGTAGGTAATCAATTTTGGCATGCCTTGGCTTGGAATCAATGGGAAAGCCAAACTCGGCTAAACCCATAAACGTATACCATGAGGCACGTGTTGTCATCAGCTGTCTCAGCCTGAAATTCCACCCGTCTATGTTCAATCAACACTCTAACATTGTTCAGTGTACGCTGAGTTTCTATACTTTGGAAGATGAACAAAAGTAAATAGAAAGAAATAATGCTGACAGACTATCTTTCATGCTGCTTTGTTTAGAATTCTGTTTACCAGTCTCCAATGTGATGACGTCAAATATGATGTACCAGAGAGGAAAGAAGTTCGTCTGCTGGAAAGCCGAGCCGGGTCGGTCAACAGTGGGAAAGCTATCAGAAGCCAATTAAAGGCCGGTTTAGCCACGTATAAAAGACCATGTATATGCGTTACTTTTGGTGGGAAAGTGGTATTTGAGAGCCTCACCAAGGTTTACCACCAGCAAAATATTAAAACATGAAAACTAACCTGTACATGTTAGCTCATGTTTTCAGAATACAACCAGCTGTTTACAGAGAACTGCAGCATATTTTCCTGAGTATTAAGGGGAGTCTTATCCTCCCCTGGCCTCTCAATCGCACCACCTATGCTTATAGCCCTCTCTTTCCTGGTAGCTTTTAATGTGAAAAATCTGCAGGAGAGTTGAATTTCAATGACAGCAGTTTAACAGTGATCAAAAACCGATGCAAACAAATTTGATTAATTAGTGAATGAAACAAGTGTTTCTGCTAAAAAGGAATTCTGAACAACAGGATGGTGAAATGCACACTATGCTGAATTGTTTCAGCATGATGGTACAGACAATGCACCCACCCTACTCCACCCCACCACACCCCCAAGCCCCCCAGTGTTGTTCTAGCTGTTCAGGCAGGTGAAGGCAATTATTTGAAAACCAGCTTTTATAAGAAACATGTCTTTAATGGAATCATGGAAGTTCATGGAGATCACTCACCCATCCTCCGTGCCTCTTAACCCAGGGGGCAAAGTTGTCCATGTAGCACTCTGCATAGCCTTGCATGCGCTGAGTTCCTGTGGCTGTCACTATTCGCCGTGATACCTCCATGGTGATAGCCAAACGTTGCAGTGTTGGACTAGGCCCTGGTGGCAGAGCTGGGGCCTCAAATACCTCACTGCTGCTGAAAGCATCCAGAAGCTTGGCAAATGATGCATAAGAAAGACGACTTAGGCTGGAGCGCAGGAAGGGGTCTGACTCGATCTGTAAAAAGAAGTGCATTTATAAATATCCTACAGGTAGAGCCAAATTATACATGCACACAGATGAACATACAATACACATGTGAGGAAAACATTCACCATAACTTAAACTACATTATACATGTTTATCTCTTTGTGTTTCTACCAGGTTTTGTTACATGTAAATTATTATGGTACCTGCCAAATCATAACTGCTGAGCAACAAAGCCATGCCTAGAACGCTGCTCTATATAATGTCCCATTAATATTTTTTTGTATACAACATGCCAAAGCAGCTCAGGTTGAAAGCAAATTACAGAATTTGTGGGTCAAACATCTGTTAAGTTGTCTTAACTTATCTGACAAATGAACAATGTAGCTTTACACACCTTATGATGAACCACTGCCTACCTTAGTGTTGATTGAATCCCCCTCCGAAGACAACACCTGAACCAGCTGCTGCACCACTGCCTCTTTATCACACACTGCTAAAAGAAAGACACAACAACTCTACAGTGAATGAAAGTGGGTCCTACAGCTCTTAGTTTATCTCAGTACTTTACTGTATATTTATCTTTGTCAGCCTGTGGCTACAGACACCACAGAGAACATGAAACACAAACATGGTATGTAGTAGCAGGGTATTAGGTAATGGGTGTATTCTGGTCCCAGTGGGCATTTACTTGAAAAATACTGCTTCCTATTGGTGTATGGAGTAATGCCTTATAAGCGGCCTCATGTGGCTGTGTTCTCCCAACAGTAGGCATCTACCCTTCTTGCACTCCTAGACACAGACTTGAGGTACTGCTGCAGTGAGGCACATGTTCCTATTGTGACAGATGGTTCAATGAAATGAGAAAGGACTTTAACTAGTGCTTAGGCTTAAAACAGATTATTTAGGGGCCCTATTTTATTTGCACAAGCACAGCAACCAGCCCAAAGCGGCAGCTCCTGGACACACTGACTGCATGGC